CGGCGCTGGTCGGAGGCGGCCGGCGGCAGGTGGCTGGCTGGATGTGGACATGTGGCATAGTATGCTTGCCTTAGAAGGAGTGGCATTGTGTGTAATTTTGATATTTTTTAATGATATTTTTGTAAATTAGGTACCACATTTTGGTCTTTGGCCTTATGCTAATTAGATGAAATTGTATTTCTATCTTCCAAATTAGTAAACTATATTGTGGTTTAAAACTAAAGCTCCCTAAATATTATTAAGTCCAATGCAACTTATAGCCGCAAAGAGAGAGCTATCAAATTGCAGAAATGAATTGGCGTGGCAAGAACGTAATATATCTACAATTGTAGTTATGTGATTAATCACTAATGGTTATGCTTTAGTTATGGTTGGATTGATGGTATCCTTTCCTCATTTGTGAGTGTCATAGAAGTGATGATTTATCACTAAACGTCTACCATGGAAAATATGGTGGAGAGGTGATTAATCATGCATGTGTGAGGCTCCTTTGTGCGTGATTAAAAAAAAGGCCCCTTGCACTCATACATGTGCGACGCTCCTTTGTAAGTATATTAGTAATATGTTAATTATTGTTGTTTTATTACAGTGGTATAACACATACTTCTAACACTAGTGATGGTGATGGAAGGGAGATACGGACTTTGTCCAACATGATGAAACCACATACTTGGCATGCATTAACTCTAACATATCAAGATTTAAAAAATAGTGTGTACCATAAGAATAAAGTTCCATATCATACAAGTGTCAAAGTAACAAAAACAATATGCACTTGATTTGTCAATTATTATCATATTTCATATGTTGTGTATCAATCCAAAGCAAACTTCTTTAGTCTGTGGAAAGAACCAAGTATCAATGGAATGGAAGCAATTAGGATTCCCATATTTGAAACAAAATTGGAAGTGGCTCAAGTCTTATATAGGATAGAAACTTACAAGTATAGAATCTCTCTAGGGTTGAGAGTACATCGAAAAGGCTTAGGACCATCAGGGGCCGTTTGTTACATAGGCTTGTAGTAAAACGTTTGTAGGTATCGTAACTGGTAAACGCTCAGGAGACACAACTCCTCCTACTAGGGACACTTAGAGGTTTAACGGCTTGTGGCACATGCGAAGTGCCATCGAGATTTCCTGCGAAAGTGGTTTAGTTAGCTTTTCGTTTTATTTTTATTTTTATTTCTAATTTTGCTCGAGGACTAACAAAGATAGGTTTGAGGTAGTTTGATAGATTCATATTTTGCATATATAATCTATCTCTAATTGCATTGTTTTCGTGTGAAATTGGTTAGTTTAATGTGTTTAGTGAGGATTTTGTAGGCAATCGGCCCTAGCAAGGCTATAAAGAAAAAAACAATAATTTTGGAAGCTTAAGGGAGCAAAATGGGTGGAATTATCAACTTAACGAAATCTCAAAAACTTACTCTGTCATTTCATTAAACACCTGGAGTGCATCTATGCAAGTGTCAATTTATACCCACAACTAGTCACAGTGACCAACGCCAGAAAGATAGAGTTAGTGGAGTTTACCATCAATTTTGGAATTGAAATCGTTTGCAACTATTTTGGAGAAGAACCATGTGTATTTAATTGGTGGAGCTAAAGAAGGTGTGTTGGCTAGTCTGTGTTGATTTGTGTGAGTGTGTTGGCGGATGCTTTAGCAAGACTTTTAGTTGTTGCCATCCCATTTGATAAAGGGCTAAGGTGTTGTTGTGCGTATGTGAAAGACTAGGTGGAGGTTCCAAGCCAAATGTTGGCTAGGCATCCACTTGCTTTCTTCTTTGTGTGGAGTGTTTGTGTCGTGACTTGAGAAACCAGAGGAGGAGTTGTCACAGATTGAAGTGTTGGCATTTGTTGAAGCAATGGCTAGGCTTTATTAATCATGAGATTCAATATCACATGGCTGGGCTTTCTTTGCCACATCACTTTTTCTCTCAACTAATAGGAGAAGTGCAGCCTTAGACTTGTAAAAAAATTAAAACAGCCTCAGCCGCTCATTTTCTCCTTTTCCAATTGGGACTTTCCCATTATTCCCATTATTCCTATATTTCCTAAATACTCTCTAAAATATATTTTCCTTATTTTTGGAGGATTCTCTTAGCCTATAAATATAAAGCTTTAACCTAAGAGCCAGACCCATCATCTTAATACACTCACAAATATATCAGAGAGAGAGCCAAGAGTTGTTGTCGCGGTGCTTTTGGAGCTTACGAAGGTGTTGATGTGAAGAATCTAGAGATCAAATCCATCTATCAAATTAGTTTTATGACAACAATTCTTTTGTTTATCTTTTCTTTTGTCATGAACAAATTTCTCTTGGGCTACGGTGAAGCCTAGCCATGAATACTTAATTTTTATAGTTATATTAATTTCTGATTACTATTCCATGTTGAGTATTTGGCATGAATCCATATTACTTAGAAATTATGAGAACTATGATTTCATACTGCATGTTGTCAATTAGATGCATACAATCTAAGATGATCAATCAAAGGAAGAAAACACATAGCATATAATTAAACTATAAGTTTTTTTTTATTATAGGACTTTTTCTATTGAGAGGGACGATATTATACTAAACTCACACACACTATACGGATGCTAGCATTCGAACCCAAGACCTTATTTGAGGGAGTAAATAATCCAAACCACTATAGTAGTGGGTCCTTTGCGATTTAAACTATAAGTTAAGTACTCATTAACATGAAAATATGTGAACTTATAAACCTAACACTAGTGAAATTGGTTGAATATGTCAATTGCTTGACGATTTGCATTTTTTTCGCAATCTCCTACTCTATGATATGATGTGACAATATTTGTGCTTTGTCTTTAGCTTCTAATCCAATTTTCTATGGAAGGACCAAGCACATTACATTGGAATATCACTTTTTTGGGAGCTAGCCACTAACCAAGCACTGTAGTTCAAGTATGTATTTTTTCAAAGTGAGATTGTTCATGTTTTTACCAAATCATTGTAATTTGCTCTATTCCTTTATCTCAAAGACAAGCGTCAAGTTGCTCTCATTTCTACATTCCTATATTTTTTAGAAAGTTTTAGATGGAGAAGTCATGCCAAATCAACCTTATGAACACCAAATTAGGCTTGTGTATTGAAATTATTCTAATTACTGACGTTCCCTTCATTTACTAACACACATGAATAAGAAATTATGTGGGTGACACATCACAATTCGTAATATAACACCTAAAAAAGGAGGAATTAGATTGATTATGGGAAGTAGTTAATCCAATTCTAATTCATTTTTTCCAATATCCCAAACATCCCAATTAATATTTTTCTCATTCCAAAGCATGTTTACTTACTTATCAGGAATAAGAGAAACCATGAATAAAAAAACTTAATAATAAGGGAATGAAGGAATTAGAATTGTTGATCACATTCCTGATTTTGAGAGTATTTAATTACAGATTTTAACGTAAAACCCACAATTTTTTTTATTTCTTATATGTTAGTATACACAAGAACACTTGGGAATTGAAATATTTTCAATACCTATGTGTTTGTAGGCATAGTAAAACTAGGAATTGAAATAATTTCAATATCCATTGGGAAGAGACGTCAGCCTGTGTTTATGAACAGTGAATATTTTGTCCCTAAAGCTGCGAAACGGGTCCTGCTGGCGGTGAATGACCCGACCCATTTCACATTTATGAAAGTCAAGACCGTAGCAGCTGGATAGTAAATTTTCCTTTTTACAAGTGCCCAAAGCCATTAACAACGTGTCACTCTCACTGCACAAAAAACCCAATCAGATAAAGTCCATCGCAGATGTATCAGATCAGAGTTTTCCAAACTCTCCAAAATACCCCAACTGCAGTTCCCATACTCCCACCCTATCCACCGAACAGTCCCCGTCATTTCAGTCAAACCCCAGGTCCTATTTCGTCAACCCGAAAAAAATCCACCCTTCAACTCTGTCCTAACTCCACCCAAAACCAAAGAGAGCTGAAAAGGAAAGAGAAGAGAGAGATAGAGTGAAGAGAGAGAGAGAGAGAGAGAGAGAGAGTGACATGGAGTTCCATTTCAACACAAACAGAGCGGAAGCGGAGCGGTGGCTGAGCACGGCAGTCAAGCTACTGACGACACGTGACCTGCACGGGACCAAGAGCTTCGCGATCCGAGCCCGAGAGTCTGACCCGAGATTGGAGGCCACCGAGCAAATAATCGCCGTTGCCGACACGCTTCTCGCCGGCGACTCGCGGATCAGCGGCCACAGCCAGCAGCCCGACTGGTACGCGATCCTTCAACTCGCCCACTACACTCAGAACCTCGAACTCGTTGCGACTCAGTACCGCCGACTCGCTCTCCTGCTCAACCCGCACCGGAACCGCTTCCCGTACGCCGATCACGCCTTCCGGCTTGTCTCCGAGGCCTGGAACGTCCTCTCTAACCCTTCTAAGAAAGCCCTCTATGACCACGAGTTGAGCATGTTCAACCGGTTCGACTCGGCTCCTTCCGGGTCGACTCAGTTGTTCGAGAGGCAATTCTTGCAAATGCATAATGTGCAACAGCAGCCGCCGCCACCGCCACCACCGCCACCACCGCAACCACAAACACTACATTTCCAGCCTCCACCACCACCATCCCAAGAAGTACAGAGAGCACAACATCAATTTCATCTACATCAATTAAGACAAGAGCAGCAGCAGCAGCAGCAGCAGCAGCAACAACAACAACAGCAACAACAGCAACAACAGCAACAACAGCTTCAACAACCACCACAGCAGCAGCAGCAGCAGCAGCAGCATCAACAGCCACCACAGCAGCAGCAACCGGTGAGGAAAAGCCCTAGGAGTAAGGATGGAAGAGTGGCGATGGAGGAGGAAAGGCCGAGTCTTAACAATGTGACCGAGTCGACTGCTCCTCCCTCCGAGTCGACTGCTCCTCCCTCCGAGTCAACTCGCCCCGTTGAGGCATCTCCCCCTTCTGAGTCGACTCGACCGGAATCGGAGCCCCGAACGGAGAGTTTCTGGACTGCATGTCCCTACTGTTATAATCTCTTTGAGTATCCGAGCGTTTACGAGGATTGCATGCTTCGGTGTCAAAATTGCAAGAGGGCGTTCAATGCGGTGGTGATAGAGGCACCGCCTGTGACGGGGAGTGACGGTGAGGTCAACTTCTGCTGTTGGGGTTATTTCCCGCTGGGGTATGCCGAGAATGGTAAAGATACAGGCGGGTCAGCTGAGTGGACGCCGTTTTCGACCATGTTTGCTTGCCCAATACAAGGGAAGAAGAAGAATGCTGGACGAACTAAGAACGCTAATTCAGGGCCGAGGGTCTATATTGACGATGATGAGGCGTTGCTTGATATTTCGGATTCTAGTGAGGAATCTGACGATGAGTGGCAGACGGATAGGAGGAAGAGGAGGGCAGTGAAAGCAAAAGGTAAAGCTTCAGTGGCTAAAACTCCAGTGAGGGCTTCGGATAGAATAAGGAAGGGGAATCAAAATGTGGTTGGGCAGGGGAAGGTAGGAAGTGGTGGGAGTTTGGGTGGTGGGTCTGTGTCGAAGCCGGAGTCGAGTAAGAAGTCGAGTTCTAGTGCAAGAAAGAGAGGTGCAGCTGCTTTGGGGAAGTTGGATTTGAATGTGGAGTTCAGTAATAATGAAGTGGAAGAGCCAGCAGCTCAGACAATGAGTGAAGGGAATGGGACTGCAAACGGGGAGGAGGATAACATTGAAGGGATTAGTTTTTTTGAGGGTCTTGATGAGTTTTTGAGTAGTCTGCCCATACTCAATGTTGTGGGTGATGACAAGGTTAAGGCTAATTAGTGAAGTAAGGGTAAGACTCGTTCCTTTTGGTTATTGCTGCTTTAGCTGTTGTACTTGCACTATGGATGCATGTTGTATTGAATGATGTAGAGCTTCTCGGCATTTTGTTTCATGGCTCTCACTCTTTGGATCTGTTACATAATCTGCAGCAATGTAAACTTAATTCAGCTTGTAGCTTTTAAAAATGTTAGTCTGATTTCTGTAGATTATCTTACGGTGTTAGCATTGATGGCTAAAATTTGGACTAACATGGGGAATCAGTTCTGGTGATAATCTCATTTTTCCCGTGTTGAAGTTAAGAAATTTTGGTATACTATAATGTTGAGGTTTCTTCGTGAATCATGGTTGAAGCTTGGTTTTAGGGTTTGTTTGGAGACCATTACATTTCTTGATGTTAGTATGTTATAAGTATTTTATATTCGTTGGGATTAGAATGGGAATGTAACATGTGGGCTTCGATTGTTTCACTCACTTGATAGATGAAATGCATCAAGTTCTCGATTTGGATTGCTTTATATACCAATTTAGGCTCAACCCAGTTGTATTTTAAAAACCCATATCCTATATTCCACAAATGGTTCAGGATCAACTATAATGTTATAGCGTAAAAGGTAGCAATCGCTAATGGAAGAAAGCAACACAAGGAGCAAGCTCAAGAGAATCTGTGTGTATTGGGAAAGCAACTTTGGCCACAGAAAGGTCTTTGGTGACGCTGCTCTTGAGTACGGCAATAAACTGGTGATTCAGATGGAGATGAATTAGAGGAATTTTCACAATTATAAAGAGGAGGGTTTGGGGGGTGGAGAAGCTTTGAGAGACGATGAGATTCCTATGGCATTGCTTTCTATTTAGGGGTCTTTGTCTTTCCACTATTATCCTAGTTTGGAAAACAGCTGCAGTTTAATTTCTTAATTTGTTTGCTGAAGTTTTTGTTTTTGCTTTTATCGTGTGGATAGTTTTATAGTTTTATATATATTATATACTTTTGGAAAGCTTTTTTTATAAATAAAATACGTTTCTTCTATGTACATATATACATATACATTCCTTATTTGCTGATGTGCTTCAGAGAAGATGCTTCGCTGACCTCTTTTTAATATTTATTTTATGTTTTATTTTTAAATCATTATTTATTATAGTTTCTAAGTTTCTTATTATACACCATCTCTTAGTCGTCAAAGAGTGAGTAGGATTAACTGTAGTTTCCCAAGCCCTAATTTGAATGTAGAAAAAACATGATCTCCCTTTTACGTTATTCTGAATTTTCACCTCTAATTGATTAACCATTCAACTGTGTTTAGTGCTCCTCTGTGGAAAGATATGTATCTATCTTTGCTAAAACAAAATGCTGGCTGCTTGTTATCTTATTTCTGCAAGGATAATCTTGGATGCTTAGCAGCAATTTGATTCTGAATTTGTGTGTCTGTTGTTCTAGGAAACATGGAAAACTTATTTACTGTGTTGCACTTGCAGCATGGTCTTCTCTTTGCTTGAGCCTATTATTGTGAGTTTGATGACTACTGTTGTACCTTATGTCTTATATATAATGTTGTCTTCACTATTGTTTCTTCTTTTTTCATCATTGTGACATTTGAAGTTAAATTTTAATTTTTTTCCGCCTTCCACTCCAGTTGTTCTGTACAATAGGTGTATAATACATAGCAAGCAAGGAATGATCTCAGGCAACATTTAGCTTATTTGGAAATGGCTTTATGCCTTTGAGCAGCCTTTTTCATGTCTAGATAGTTGAAGGGCATCTGAACGTTTTATTAAACGAACAAAAAATCAAAATGATGTTCTCGTGAGCACTTCATCATTTTCATTACCCTCGTGATCATTCTGGCGTCAGTTAATGGAAGTCGACATAATAGTCAAATTGTTGATACTAGATTGAGGATTCGAATTGAATTTTGGTGTTAACAATGAGGGTATAAAGTTTTCCTGATCATAGTGTTTAGAAATGTCCATTAATCCAGACTTCAGCAGCAATTAAACTTTTATTAGAATTTCTCATTAAATTTCCAATTTGATTTGGTGCATATTGTAGAATTTGTACTTCAATAAGTTGGTTGGTTGTTAGTTTGTTTTCTTGTTTTATTTATTTATTTTTGGTAAGATTTCCTTGCCAAATAAAAAAAGTAGTGTGGTGATTTTATAAGCTGAGTCATAGTGCTAGCATATTTCTGTTATCTTGTGTGTGATATATTCATCCTTGTCATTTTCTCTTTTCATAATGGATGCACAGTGGTAAAATTAGAAGTGGAGACAGATTTTTGGTGGCAATATTCAGAGATACAAAACACCTAGTGGTACAATGTTATGCAGAAAAATAGGTAAATAGGTAATGCAACACCTAGTGGTACAATGTTATGCAGAAAAATAGGTAAATAGGTAATGCTTTCAGTGAAATTGTTCCTCATATTGTTGACTTAAGGACTATTCATGCTGTGGGGATGGATATGGCAGCGGCATTATCGATGTTTGTAGTTGCTGTATTTCCTTTAGACCTAACTACGGTATCATTGCCTGTCATTCAGATGGGGTGACATGCAATGATTCAGTTGGGATAAGTAGTTAAGTTATTGACTGAAAGAAAGGTCCCAACAAGACTCATGGAGGAAAAGTTTGAACTGAATTGTTTTGAGAAGAAAACGAGTTGTTCTCATAGTCTGGGAGCATGATTTCGATTCGATTTGTAGCCTTGTAGGGTGTTGGATTTGATGTAATATTTTTGTATGATTGCAATTCTTCATGTTCTTAGATACTACAAGGCGGTGGATTTGTTGCGGAGACGGTACTCTTTAGAGCAAAAACTCGTCTTGTGAAGCTCATGAAGTAGGGAATAGGCATTCTGTGGTTCTTGTTAACCAAAATGAGAATGATGATCTTAAGATGAAATAAAGGGTAACTGGGAACTTGTATTGATTTGAAAAATGAGTTTCCGTTAAGTTTGAGTGATGTTGATTATGTTCGTCTCCGGCTCATTGCCTTTTCATAGTCCACTCTTTTGGTCGGAATCAAAGATCTAGCTGAACTACAACCAAAGACGGAGGTGGTGTAACTTTGCGATTCGCCGCTCTCAGCCCAATCCTTGCCGCCCTTGCCGCCTCATGGGCAGCACGATTCATGTCTTGGAATCGAGCAGCACTCAACTTCCTGAAAACCTGCTGCTAATCTTCTAATCTCATTGATC